CTTACGGTACTTGCTTCATATATTGGCCATCAACTACTGTTTATTTAAAGTAGAATTTGAACACAGCGCCAAGTAATCTTTGTATGTTGAAGAAATTTCTATCTTTTATTTTACCTTCAGTAAGGTGCACTCGGAATGTAGTCGTTTACAGTTTCAAGTAGTATTGTTTATCCTGAAACTTCTTAGAAAAATTCCTTCAACTCCATAACTGAATTTCAATCCTCAATATTGTCCCATTCAACTATAGTGTAAGGGTGACCATCAATAGGAATACCTGGCGTCAACTATTGCCATCTAAAATGTCTTTGGCTATACTAACATAGTATAGCCACGGCAGAAGCCGTAAGTATCCGTATTCACACACACACACACACACACACACACACACACACACACACACACACGTACAGTGATTACCTTTTCTGTGTACGATTCTTCGCCCAAATACCGCAAAATTTCCGGAGCCATGTAACCGGGTGTACCCACATAACCACGACATCCTTCAGTCGGGCATTGCAGCTGACTGGCCCCGTAGTCCGTCAGGACCACAGAGACACCTCGTGGATCGAGTAAATCCACACTGGTATCCGATGGTGAAGGTGTCCAAGGGGCCGGGATCGCCCAGACCAACAAATTATCCGATTTCACATCGCGATGTACTATATGCATGCTGTGTAAATGCGCGAGCGCCGAGGTAAGCTGTGGGAAACAGAAAACGCGAAAGTAATTCAATCATAAATTAAAACAGACAAGAAAATAAAGCACGATCATGGTGGTGCTGGTTTTGGTGTAGCTGAAAACAGTTAACCTCAGTATTGTTAGTCAATCCCTAAGTTGGGGATCACGAGCTAGAGTCTGAGGCGAGAGAAATGCAGAACGGGTTCGGATTCTTGCTAGGTGAAATTTCTGTCGTTCATCAATTTTGAAATTAACTGGTCGAGTACGACGAGGCAAAAGATTTGATGTTCTCTTCACATTTGAACGATACCGCGTTTATATGCAACTAACAAAGTCACAGTCACTTTTAGATATACCAGAGATGGTATTACATCCTTGTATCATTTAAAATCATCACAGTTTGTTGATGGACAGCTTTCTTTTCGCTTCGCACAATACCCGATCCATCCTGGTGGGGCCTTGCATAGTTCTTGGATCCAAGTCCCCGGATTTAAATTGCCAGTTATCGTGAGCCAAAGTGCAATCGTTTCATTGCGTTAATATGCATGGGCAGTGGATGAAAAGGACTGGGATAAATTCAACCTTCTTACTTGATGAATAATCAGCATCATTGTGATCGGGTGCATGGGATGTGCAGTCCGGGTGCCGGTACTCCAACGTGAATCAGTCTGACCACGATCTAGACTCTGTCGCACATGAACCAAATATTGTGTCATATTTCCGGCCGGTGCCAAGGGGATTAGCACACCCATGGGGTTAGGTGAAATTAATCCGAGACAGGTGAGCAAGTGCTGCGGATGGATAGAGTCGGCTCGACAATCCGCGTCAGGACGCAGCCGATGGTGAATAGATCGCTTCGGAATGCGTGTCTTCACTGACGGATTGAGATGATGCGAACGAGTTCGTCGGGCTCGGTTGGCACTGAATTTACGCAGTGTAAAACCGAACCCGATTTGAACGAGAACATTCAACTCTGCACGAGCTTCCTGAATCAACCAGCACAGTGAAAGAAATTGCACAATTGCCAATTGGAAAAAATACCATTGACATTGGGGACCCTCTATCA